GGGTAAGTGCCCTAAAATCCGTTTGGAAATGACCCTCTGTTTTCCCCATAAAATACAAAGATTATATTGGGAAATACAACTGGTCAGTTTTGACCCCTTTACGAAGTTTTCCCAGATATGCCGAGTTTTTTGTGACACCCCAAGGTGTTCTCCTACCACCTCACAAAATTTCAAGGGGGGTCGTCGGAGGAATTTTTTTTTCGTAATAGAGCTCATATGAAGAGAATTTCACTCGCGGTCACATTTTAGCCCTCGTCGAGGGCTTTGAGTGTAACCGACAATTTTCCCTAAAGGTCAAGCCATTGACCTAAGAGCATGCAAAAAATTAGCCAGATATACTGAGCTTAAGTACCCTAAAGTCTGCGTTGAAATAACCCTCTGTTTTTCCCATAAAATACAAAGATTATATAGGGAAATACAACTGGTCAGTTTTGACCCCTTTACGAAGTTTTCCCAGATATGCCGAGTTTTTTGTGACACCCCAAGGTGTTCTCCTACCACCTCACAAAATTTCAACGGGGGTCGTCGGAGGAATTTTTTTTTCGTAATAGAGCTCATATAAAGAGAATTTCACTCGCGGTCACTGTTTAGTCCTCGTCGAGGGCTTTGAGTGTAACCAACAGTTTTCCCTAAAGGTCAAGCCATTGACCTAGGAGCATGCAAAAAATTAGCCAGATATAATGAGCTTAAGTACCCTAAAGTCTGCGTTGAAATGACCCTCTGTTTTTCCCATAAAATACAAAGATTATATAGGGAAATACAACTGGTCAGTTTTGACCCCTTTACGAAGTTTTCCCAGATATGCCGAGTTTTTTGTGACACCCCAAGGTGTTCTCCTACCACCTCACAAAATTTCAACGGGGGTCGTCGGAGGAATTTTTTTTTCGTAATAGAGCTCATATAAAGAGAATTTCACTCGCGGTCACTGTTTAGTCCTCGTCGAGGGCTTTGAGTGTAACCAACAGTTTTCCCTAAAGGTCAAGCCATTGACCTAGGAGCATGCAAAAAATTAGCCAGATATAATGAGCTTAAGTACCCTAAAGTCTGCGTTGAAATGACCCTCTGTTTTTCCCATAAAATACAAAGATTATATAGGGAAATACAACTGGTCAGTTTTGACCCCTTTACGAAGTTTTCCCAGATATGCCGAGTTTTTTGTGACACCCCAAGGTGTTCTCCTACCACCTCACAAAATTTCAACGGGGGTCGTCGGAGGAATTTTTTTTTCGTAATAGAGCTCATATAAAGAGAATTTCACTCGCGGTCACTGTTTAGTCCTCGTCGAGGGCTTTGAGTGTAACCAACAGTTTTCCCTAAAGGTCAAGCCATTGACCTAGGAGCATGCAAAAAATTAGCCAGATATAATGAGCTTAAGTACCCTAAAGTCTGCGTTGAAATGACCCTCTGTTTTTCCCATAAAATACAAAGATTATATAGGGAAATACAACTGGTCAGTTTTGACCGCTTTACGAAGTTTTCCCAGATATGCCGAGTTTTTTGTGACACCCCAAGGTGTTCTCCTACCACCTCACAAAATTTCAAGGGGGATCGTCGGAGGAAATTTTTTTTCGTAATAGAGCTCATATAAAGAGAATTTCACTCGCGGTCACTTTTTAGCCCTCGTCGAGGGCTTTGAGTGTAACCGATAGGTCTGCCCTACGACCAAGCCATTTACCTATAAGCATGCCAAAACTTAGCCAGATGTAAAGAGGGTAAGTGCCCTAAAATCCGTTTGGAAATGACCCTCTGTTTTCCCCATAAAATACAAAGATTAAATAGGGAAATACAACTGGTCAGTTTTGACCCCTTTACAAAGTTTTCCCAGATATGCCGAGTTTTTTGTGACACCCCAAGGTGTTCTCCTACCACCTCACAAAATTTCAAGGGGGGTCGTCGGAGGAATTTTTTTTCGTAATAGAGCTCATATAAAGAGAATTTCACTCGCGGTCACATTTTAGCCCTCGTCGAGGGCTTTGAGTGTAACCGATAGGTCTGCCCTACGACCAAGCCATTTACCTATAAGCATGCCAAAACTTAGCCAGATGTAAAGAGGGTAAGTGCCCTAAAATCCGTTTGGAAATGACCCTCTGTTTTCCCCATAAAATACAAAGATTATATAGGGAAATACAACTGGTCAGTTTTGACCCCTTTACGAAGTTTTCCCAGATATGCCGAGTTTTTTGTGACACCCCAAGGTGTTCTCCTACCACCTCACAAAATTTCAACGGGGGTCGTCGGAGGAATTTTTTTTTCGTAATAGAGCTCATATAAAGAGAATTTCACTCGCGGTCACATTTTAGCCCTCGTCGAGGGCTTTGAGTGTAACCGACAATTTTCCCTAAAGGTCAAGCCATTGACCTAGGAGCATGCAAAAAATTAGCCAGATATACTGAGCTTAAGTACCCTAAAGTCTGCGTTGAAATGACCCTCTGTTTTTCCCTTAAAATACAAAGATTATATAGGGAAATACAACTGGTCAGTTTTGACCCCTTTACGAAGTTTTCCCAGATATGCCGAGTTTTTTGTGACACCCCAAGGTGTTCTCCTACCACCTCACAAAATTTCAAGGGGGGTCGTCGGAGGAATTTTTTTTTCGTAATAGAGCTCATATAAAGAGAATTTCACTCGCGGTCACATTTTAGCCCTCGTCGAGGGCTTTGAGTGTAACCGATAGGTCTGCCCTACGACCAAGCCATTTACCTATAAGCATGCCAAAACTGAGCCAGATGTAAAGAGGGTAAGTGCCATCAAATCCGTTTTGAAATGACCCTCTGTTTTTCCCATAAAATACAAAGATTATATAGGGAAATACAACTGGTCAGTTTTGACCCCTTTACGAAGTTTTCCCAGATATGCCGAGTTTTTTGTGACACCCCAAGGTGTTCTCCTACCACCTCACAAAATTTCAAGGGGGGTCGTCGGAGGAATTTTTTTTTCGTAATAGAGCTCATATAAAGAGAATTTCACTCGCGGTAACTTTTTAGCCCTCGTCGAGGGCTTTGAGTGTAACCGATAGTTTTCCCTAAAGGTCAAGCCATTGACCTAAGAGTATGCAAAAAATTAGCCAGATATACTGAGTTTAAGTACCCTAAAGTCTGCGTTGAAATGACCCTCTGTTTTTCCCATAAAATACAAAGATTATATAGGGAAATACAACTGGTCAGTTTTGACCCATTTACGAAGTTTTCCCAGATATGCCGAGTTTTTTGTGACACCCTAAGGCGTTCTCCTACCACCTCACAAAATATCAAGGGGGGTCGTCGGAGGAAAATTTTTTTCGTAATAGAGCTCATATAAAGAGAATTTCACTCGCGGTCACTTTTTAGCCCTCGTCGAGGGCTTTGAGTGTAACCGACAGTTTTCCCTAAAGGTCAAGCCATTGACCTAGGAGCATGCAAAAAATTAGCCAGATATACTGAGCTTAAGTACCCTAAAGTCTGCGTTGAAATGACCCTCTGTTTTTCCCATAAAATACAAAGATTATATAGGGAAATACAACTGGTCAGTTTTGACCGCTTTACGAAGTTTTCCCAGATATGCCGAGTTTTTTATGAAACCCCTAGGTGTTCTTCTACCACCTCACAAAATATCAAGGGGGGTCGTCGGAGGAAAATTTTTTTCGATATACAGCTCATATAAAGAGAATTTCACTCGCGGTCACTTTTTAGCCCTCGTCGAGGGCTTTGAGTCAAACCGACAGTTTTCCCTAAAGGTCAAGCCATTTACCTAAGAGTATGCAAAAAATTAGCCAGATATACTGAGCTTAAGTACCCTAAAATCCGCGTTGAAATGACCCTCTGTTTTTCCCATAAAATACAAAGATTATATAGGGAAATACAACTGGTTAGTTTTGACCCCTTTACGAAGTTTTCCCAGATATGCCGAGTTTTTTGTGACACCCTAAGGCGTTCTCCTACCACCTCACAAAATATCAAGGGGGGTCGTCGGAGGAAATTTTTTTTCGTAATAGAGCTCATATAAAGAGAATTTCACTCGCGGTCACTTTTTAGCCCTCGTCGAGGGCTTTGAGTGAGACCGACAGGTCTGCCCTACGGTCAAGCCATTTTCCTATAAGCATGCCAAAACTTAGCCAGATGTAAATAGAGTAAGTGCCCTAAAATCCGTTTTGAAATGACCCTCTGTTTTCCCCATAAAATACAAAGATTATATAGGGAAATACGACTGGTCAGTTTTGACCCATTTCCCGATTTTTCCCGGACATGGCGAGTTTTTTGTGACACCCCAAGGCGTTCTCCTACCACCTCACAAAATATCAAGGGGGGTCGTCGGAGGAAATTTTTTTTCGTAATAGAGCTCATATAAAGAGAATTTCACTCGCGGTCACTTTTTAGCCCTCGTCGAGGGCTTTGAGTGAGACCGACAGGTCTGCCCTACGGTCAAGCCATTTTCCTATAAACATGCCGAAAATTAGCCAGATGTAAACAGGGTAAGTGCCCTAAAATCCGTTTTGAAATGACCCTCTGTTTTTCCCATAAAATACAAAGATTATATAGGGAAATACGACTGGTCAGTTTTGACCCATTTCCCGATTTTTCCCGGACATGGCGAGTTTTTTGTGACTCCCCAAGGCGTTCTCCTACCACCTCACAAAATTTCAAGGGGGGTCGTCGGAGGAAAATTTTTTTCGTAATATAGCCCATATAAGGCGCCGGTCAGTCGAGGTCAGTTTTGACCCCTTCTCCGTAGACTTTTCGGCCAACCGTCACCGGCCTTCGTGTTCTATCGCCCGAAGACACCATCGTGCCAAATTTGACGCGCCTGCGGCGCCGGGAAGTGCCCTATCGGGCACTTGACCACTTTGCTTTATATATATAGATTCATTGACAACAACACTAAAATGAAATGTTCTTAGCAGTCCCAAACGCTCCATCCTTATACTCCATAAAACGTGCGACTTAATACAGTTATCACAACTATGATCTAATATCTCTGCTGACAGTAAACACCGCGGGCTCATGAATTTGTTTACACTTCAACAGATGCTGACCACGAATGACGCGCTCCACAGCTGACCATCCGACAGGTGTGAGCATGCACGTGCAGCGTTGAGCAGGTGTCGAGTGAGCACATGTACCTGCCGGCAGCAACGGTTGCCACGGCCATGGCAACAGACAGCACGACGGAGGGCAGGGGCCTGTCCCTCCACCCCCAGGTCTCGTCCTCCACCCACCACTCCATCTCCATCAAGTGGGCGTGTGAGGGAGACTCCAGGGGCTTCAGGGTCCAGTACAACCGTGACGCCAGCGCCTACAGGATAGACAGCGGGATGCTGGCCTACACGGCTAGAGAGTACTACATCAACAATCTGGTCTCTGACACATACTACAGGGTACAGTAGCTTGCATTCTCTTTATACACTTTTGTTACTTTAATATGCACATTCCATATCAGAAAGCTTAAATACTGCAAAACTCCTACTGAAATAGGGACTATTAATTGAGTATTCCAGTTAAAATAAGGTTCTAATGAGATACTTGAAAAAATTTTGTTTGCTATGCTGTCTTAACGATCACGTGACCACCGTGCCTCTGTCCCCAGATCTGCGTGACCATGTTCCACGGCAACGAGTCCTACCCTCTAGAGGAGTGTCTAGAAGCTTCCACCACCAGCTGGCACATCCCCGTCTCCATCGGCTCCAGCATCGGCGCTGTCCTGGCGCTCTCCATCATTGTCCTCATTGTCCTCCTGTCCCGATGTCCTAACCTGGTCCGGCAGCCCCGCACGGCAGCGGCCGAGTCCAGCAAGTACGACTCCATGTCCTCGCACTTCCCTGACGACCGGTACGAGATGAGCGACACGACCACCCACTGCCACGACCGGGAGGACGACGTCTTCTCCCAGAACAGCGAGGGCGACAGTCTGGCCGAGAGCAAGGGCCCGTCCCGACACGCCTACCAGCACTCGCCGCAGAGCCTGGCTGAGAGGGTCTGTAACGGGAGCAAGATCTCCAACGGCGGCAGTAAACCGGCCAGGGCGAACATCCCGCTGGGGAGATGCGGGCGCACGTTGTCGCTGACCGAACGCCGGCACAACCCCAGCCATCCATACCGCTCGCGGCAGGCCCGGCTCGCACACATGCACACACACTTCCACTCCATACAGTCGGAGCCGGGGGGACACCGCACAGCTCCACGGATCAGCATTAGTGACTTCCCCGCGTCAGCCGTCAGCGCCGAGCTATCGGCGTCACGGAAGAGTCATCACTCCAGCATGCCGACGACCCACAACGGCAAAGGCTCGCTGGGCCACACCGCCGGGGCCTACGCTAAACTGACTAACCACACGACCAACCCGGAGTCGGCCACTTCCACATCAGAGCCCACGGTAGCAGAGAGCAACCCAACGAAGGTCAGACCGCCAGTGCTGAAATACGTGTCAAAAACACTGCACATGAGCATTGAAGGCGACACGCTAGTCTGACACGCACACACTACTCACCTACACAAAAACCATCCAGTTTTCCGGGAATTTCCCAACCGGATATGTGTTTTCTGAAGGTCGGGGTTTACAAACTTTGGAACCTCTGTTAGCAGCCGATTCTAATGTACATATTACAATGGGCGTTCCTCGTTTAGATCTTGTCACGGCCTGATATTTGCAAATAATTCCATGTTTTTTATAAAGGTCAACTACAATACGTTTTGTGCGATAACGTGAAGTTACTCATATATTCTTCATTGCTTGTACTTGTGGATAGCAGCAAAACCATGGACAGATACTTAGCCATGTTAATGTAATCGATATAACCATTGACTTATACCAGTTATTCATAGACCTATTACGGATATTAAACTAGATGGATCATAAAAGAAACTACTAGTGGCATGCTGTCCGTGGACTCGACTAGACTCTGAAGTAACACAAATTCTGATAAAATTGGTTTGTGTTGTCGTGGCCGAGTAGGGAATATGACATCTATCCCGTCTGTTGCGGGTTCGGAACCCATGTCAATGTAAATGTTTTTTTTATTTACCCCCCCCCCCCTCCCCGACCCCCTAGCTGGTCCCCACCACACGACTCTGGATACTACATTCCATTACATGTCCTGTGATTGGTTCAAATCTTTCTAAAACATGGCTCCGTTGCCGGCTAGTGTTGGTACAGAAGTGATCCAAACAAGAAAATATACACAATACTGTACCACTCTCCACATCCAAATACACACACACACAGAGACCCACACACCCACCCACACACACACACCCACATCACACACGCGCATAAGACCACACTCTACAAAAGAAATTAAGCAATAAACAGACACTGGCAATAAAAAGTACCTAATAATATTAAGCAATGACAGTCAATGTGCGTGCGTATAGCAATATTTCCCTTGATAGAGAACAAAGAACTGAAGCAACGACTGTGGATAGTAGCATGCGTATAGCAATATTTCCCATGATAGAGAACATAAAGAACTCAAGCAACGACTGTGGATAGTAGCATGCGTATAGCAATATTTCCCATGATAGAGAACATAAAGAACTCAAGCAACGACTGTGGATAGTAGCATGCGTATAGCAATATTTCCCATGATAGAGAACATAAAGAACTCAAGCAACAACTGTAAATAACCACACATGTGCACCTGTGGCCACACCGACCACCTGTAGATGAAATATCTACCAACAACTTCTGTCTTCCACTACAAGGCCTAGGGTCTAGTACAGCGGTGTCAACAGGGCTTGTCTTGTGTGTCAACTATCGAGACATTTCTGGTTCTGTAATCTTGTGAGGGCATTTTTCTAAACATGTGTACAAGCCTCATACACTACTGACTTGGTTGGTAGTTCTGCACTCACGTCCTACCCTGGTGTACACACCTCACACACTACTGACCTGGTAGCTCCCCACTCACCTCCTACCCTGGTACACACTGTGTACACACCTCACCCAACAAGATTAACACGTGACAGTGACCACATCAGAGTGAGCCCTAGAGCGTATGAGAAAGGATTTACCTCGGAGATCTGAGACCCGCGCTGCCTATGTGAAGAGAAAATTCTAGACTACAAGTAAAAAAAAAAACCACCTCGAATTCTTAAACTGATTACTTTCAAGAGAAATATCGATAAGGCAGAGGTAACTCGCCAAAACTAGGATCGGTTTGATGGGAAATAAATTGAAATAGGTTGGACGAATTGAAATGGGTTGGACGAATTGAAATGGGTTGGACGAATTGAAATGGGTTGGACGAATTGAAATGGGTTGGACGAGAATTGAAATGGGTTGGACGAGAATTGAAATGGGTTGGACGAATTGAAATGGGTTGGACGAATTGAAATGGGTTGGACGAATTGAAATGGGTTGGACGAATGGAAATGGGTTGGACGAATTGAAATGGGTTGGACGAATTGAAATGGGTTGGACGAATTGAAATGGGTTGGACGAATTGAAATGGGTTGGACGAATGGAAATGGGTTGGACGAATTGAAATGGGTTGGACGAATTGAAATGGGTTGGACGAATTAAATTGGGTTGGACGAATTGAAATGGGTTGGACGAATTGAAATGGGTTGGACGAATGGAAATGGGTTGGACGAATTGAAATGGGTTGGACGAATTGAAATGGGTTGCATGAATTAAATTGGGTTGGACGAATTGAAATGGGTTGGACGAATTGAAATGGGTTGGACGAATTGAAATGGGTTGGACGAATTGAAATGGGTTGGACGAATTGAAATGGGTTGGACGAGAATTGAAATGGGTTGGACGAGAATTGAAATGGGTTGGACGAATTGAAATGGGTTGGACGAATTGAAATGGGTTGGACGAATTGAAATGGGTTGGACGAATGGAAATGGGTTGGACGAATTGAAATGGGTTGGACGAATTGAAATGGGTTGGACGAGAATTGAAATGGGTTGGACGAATTGAAATGGGTTGGACGAATTAAATTGGGTTGGACGAATTGAAATGGGTTGGACGAATTGAAATGGGTTGGACGAATTAAATTGGGTTGGACGAATTGAAATGGGTTGGACGAATTGAAATGGGTTGGACGAATTGAAATGGGTTGGACGAATTGAACTGGGTTGGACGAATTAAATTGGGTTGGACGAATTGAAATGGGTTGGACGAATTGAAATGGGTTGGACGAATTAAATTGGGTTGGACGAATTGAAATGGGTTGGACGAATTGAAATGGGTTGGACGAATGGAAATGGGTTGGACGAATTGAAATGGGTTGGACGAATTGAACTGGGTTGGACGAATTAAATTGGGTTGGACGAATTGAAATGGGTTGGACGAATTGAAATGGGTTGGACGAATTAAATTGGGTTGGACGAATTGAAATGGGTTGGACGAATTGAAATGGGTTGGACGAATGGAAATGGGTTGGACGAATTGAAATGGGTTGGACGAATTGAAATGGGTTGCATGAATTAAATTGGGTTGGACGAATTGAAATGGGTTGGACGAATTGAAATGGGTTGGACGAATTGAAATGGGTTGGACGAATTGAAATGGGTTGGACGAATTGAAATGGGTTGGACGAATTGAAATGGGTTGGACGAATTGAAATGGGTTGCATGAATTAAATTGGGTTGGACGAATTGAACTGGGTTGGACGAATTGAAATGGGTTGGACGAATTGAAATGGGTTGGACGAATTGAACTGGGTTGGACGAATTGAAATGGGTTGGACGAATTGAACTGGGTTGGACGAATTGAAATGGGTTGGACGAATTGAAATGGGTTGGACGAATTGAAATGGGTTGGACGAATTGAAATGGGTTGGACGAATTGAAATGGGTTGGACGAGAATTGAAATGGGTTGGACGAATTGAAATGGGTTGGACGAATTAAATTGGGTTGGACGAATTGAAATGGGTTGGACGAATTGAAATGGGTTGGACGAATTGAAATGGGTTGCATGAATTAAATTGGGTTGGATGAAACGTGGATAGATCACATGTGGATTCATGGAGTCACAGGTGGATTCATGGAGTCACAGGTGGATTCATGAAGTCATAGGTGGATTTATGGAGTCACAGGTGGATTCATGGAATCAAATGTCATACACGGTCACACAGGATACAGACCGACGGTCTAGCCTAAACCGATGTTCTGTGCTAAAGACGTATCAAGGTAAAAGAATGATGTTCTATGTTAAACTGATATTCTAGGTTAAAGACGTTCTAGGTTTAATACCGATGTTCTATGTTAAAGACCGTTGTTTAAGTTAAAGGCTCCTGGAGTGGAAACAGATTTCCACCAGTCTGGTTCGAGCAGCGATGTGTCTAAACAAAATGCCCAAGACAAGCATGAGATAACAACATAGAGCAGGAAATCTTGTATTAATCTGGGTTTGTGGCGACGCCGTGTGTTTAATGAACAAACATGTTCCTGCCACTGCCTCCACACATCCACCAAACCAATTCGCTTATCGATTCCCCGAGTCATGATTAGCACAGGGAAAATCCGATGCGTTTTAATGGCGCTAAGTGAAAACGTTGGACATCAATATATTCCATTTACGATCGCAAACTTTCTGTGTGCATTAAAGATCATATTAGATCGCTTCAATGGAAGTAATTAGTTTTAGAAAAATTTAGAAAAATATCGGAGTATAGCAACGTGCGCTATATTTAGGGACAGCTGCTGGAATCAGACTTTAATGAAATAATTAGTAACGAGACAACAGCATTAGCATTGCTTGTTTGCTTATTTACATCTAAAGCCTGTTGGCCAGTAATCAACTAATTAGCTACATCATTCAAGCTTGGATCAACACCTCATGCAGAACGAAACGAAACATTTGATTGAAACTGTTTGATAAACTCAAAAGCTGTAGCACGTTCACAGAGTATTTTGTTTGGAGTCCACATTCTCCCTAAGTTTTCTGATCTCACTAATAATTCGGTCCAAATTTTAATTAATGCATCTAAAAATTAATTAGGCGACCAATTAAGTCAAATTGAATGTCACGATGCATTGTCTTCATGTCTTGACCCACGTACCAATTACGAACTGTATCTGTCAGTTAGAAGTGCCTGCAATTTCGCTCGGCCGTTTCGATCTAGACAGACAGAGGAAGTGAGTTAAATAAAAGCTTGTAAAAAAACCACGGTAGGGGTAAATACTATGTTCTCTGTCTACTATGGGTGGGGTATCATAGAGAGTTGCAGTTGAACACTGACATTACAGACATCTCATACTTGGTGAGGACATTTTAGGATATAACAGTACCGTAGAATAGAGTAGAGGTACAAACAAATAATACGGAATACTTTGATTAATATTAAAAGCGAAACTAAGATGTATGGATAATTAGGATACCCACTGCCCCGTACAACTGTGATTATAAAATCAATCACAACATGGCTTCAGGGGATGATGTTGTGTGAGTTGACTGTTGTGTTGTCCAGGACGTGTTATGGAAGGCTAAAAGGTTCTCTAGATTGTAATGAAATATGAAATTTGATGCGCTGCTATTGTAAAGGATTGTATCTAAGCAATGGGAACGTAAACTTCGCACAGGTCTATCTACAGTAGAAAAAAAATCTGGCACGAACCAATAGTGAACGAATACCTAGAATAACATGGCCGACATATTAGCGTTATTTCACTGCTCAGTGACTTCTATTGGTAAACATCGACTACGCGGTGGGAGTAGATGACTAAATGGAACAGCAAGTGTTTTCATGCTAGTGAAACGTATGTGGCAAAAGACATGCTCTTTAGACAGCCACATAGAAACCTTGTATATTGTGACCAATATTCTGATACGTGGCTCATGCATTAAAAAACGAGAAGTGTACATGCAACTTGGAAGTAATTTTACCCAGTATGGCTAAAATATATGTGACATTTGCCCCTTCTAAACATCCTCGTCATTACATGAAACATTTTTATCCATGTACATTTTAACATCCTTGTATGTGGCACTTGTCATTAG